TGTTACTCTTGAGCTCATTGCCGCTGCCACTGCGCCAATCCATCTCATTGGGAGTCTTCCTCTATTTCACTTACCCTCCACTTTACCAAACATGATGTTCTTCTCCTAGGAGTGGTCCCTCTTGATACTTACTGTGTCTTAAGTATCAGAGATGAACTCTCACCATTCTCACTTATAAGGAACATTCTGGCTGTACTTCTTCCAACACAGATTTGTTTGTTCTTCTGGCAGCCTAGGTACCTTCAATATTCTTCTCTGACACCACAATTCAAATACATCAATTCTTCTATGATCTTCCATGTTTATTGTCCAACTTTCACATATGAGACCATGTCTTGGGTCAGGCATACCTTAATCCTCAAACTGACATCTTTGTACTTGAATGCTTTAAAGAGGGCCTTTGCAGCAGATTTGCTTAATGCCATACGTTCTTTGATTTCTTGGATGCTGCTTGTATGAGTGTTGATTATAGATCCAAGCAAAATGAAGTCATTGACAACTTCGATCTTTTTTCCATTCATCATGATGTTATTTATTGGTCCAGTAGTGAGGATTTTTGTGTCTTTTTTTTTTTTTTCATTGAGATGCAGTCCATACTGAAGGCTGTGGTCTTTGAGCTTCTTCAATAAGTATTTTTAGTCTTCTGTGCTATTAAAAAGCAAGGTTGTATTATCTGCATATCGAAGGTTGTTAATGAGTCTTCCTTCAATCCTGATGTCATGATCTTCTTCACATAACCCAGCTTCTCAGATGATTTGCTTAGCATGCAGATTGAATAAGTATGGTGAAAGAATAAACACTAGTGCACACCTTTCCTGATTGTAAATCATCCTCATGAGCACAGTTAAGTGTTCTGTAATAACATGTTCTTTGCTGTCTGTGGTTTGTCATCATATGCACAGTCAAAAGCCTTTGCGTAGTCAATAAGACACAAGTAAACATCTCTGCTTTAAGCCAAGATCCATCTAGCGTAGTAATGATATACCTCGTTCCATGTCCTCTTCTGAATCCAATTTAAATGTCCAACAGTTCTCTGTTGATGTACTGTTGCAGTCATTATAAAATTATCTTCATCAAAATTTTACTTGCGTGTGATATTAGTTACATTATTTGATGATTTCTGCATCTATTGGGTCACCTCTCTTTGTAATGGGGTCAAATACAGATCTCTTCCAATCTGTTAGCCAGGTAACTGCCTTCGAAATTTCTTGGCATAGGTGAGTGAGTGCCCCCAGTGCTTCATTAAATTGTTGAAAGATTTCAATGTGTATTCCATCAATTCCTGGAGACTTGTTTTTCACCCATCAGTGCTGCTTGGACTTCTTCATTCGGTACCACTGGTTCTTGAGCATATCCTGCCTCTTAAAATGGTTGAACATCAAGGATTTCTTTTTGGTACAGTGACTCTGCGTATTCCTTCCATCTTCTTTTGATGCTTTCTGCATCGTTCTATATTTTGCCCATAGAATCCTTCAATATTACAAGTTGTTGCTGTTGTTGTTGTTAAGTGCCGTCGACTCGGTTCCAACCCATAGCGACCCTGTACAGGGTTTCCAAGGGTGTAAATCCTTACGGGAGTAGGAAAGCCTCATCTTTCTCCCGCGGAGTGGCTGGTAGTTTCGAACTGCTGACTTTCAGGTTCGCAGCCCGATTTGTAACCACTATGCTACCAGAGCTCCTTTATTACAAGTAGTACAAGTAGAGGTTTGAATTTTGTCTTCACTTCTTTCAGCTTGAGAAATGCTGAGCGTGATCCTTTTAGCTTTCTAACTCCAGGTCATTGCACATTTCGTTATTGTACTGTGTCTTCTTGAATTGCACTTGGATATTTTCTGTTCAGCTTTTTCATTTCCTCATTTCTTCCATTCGCTTGAGCATGTCTATGCTGCAGAGCAAGTTTCAGGGTCTCTTCTGACATCCATCTTGGTCTTTTCTTTCTTTCCTGACTTTTTAATGACCTTTTGCTTTCTTCCTGGATGATGTTCTTGATGTCATCCCACAGCTCTTATGGTCTTGGGTCATTAGTGTCAAATGCATCCAATCTGTTCTTGAGATACTTTTTAAATTCCAGTGGGATATGTTCAAGTTCATATTTTGGCTCTTGTGGATTCATTTTAATTTTCCCCAGCTTCAGCCTGAACTTACATATGAGCAGTTAATGGTTTGTTCCACAGTTGGCCCCTGGCCTAGCTTTGACTGATGATCTTGAGCTTTTCTACCTATAAATGGATGAATAGAACATAGTGTTTTTAGAAATTGTATCCTGGTGTGGCATTGTGGGATAAAGCACTGGACTGCAAGGTCAATTTGAATCACTAGGCTGGCAGTTCAAACTCAGCAGCTGCTTCTTGGAAACCCTATACAGGGTTGCTATGAGTTGGAACCGACTCGACAGCACTTAACAACAACACAACATACAAGGAGGCTTCAAAAAGTTCATGGAGAAATGGAAATAAAAGGTAATGGAAATTTTTTACAACTTTTTGAAGCCCCCTCATACATGTTTTGGTATAAATTGCTTTTCATTTTAAACCACATGTCTTAGATTTTTCTGGATTAGCTCACAGACCTCTACCTTACTTTAAAAAAACATCTTTCATAGTATTTCATCGTCTAGATTTGTCATTATTAGTCTTAGGCTTACTGATATGACTATTTTTCATAGTATTTCATCGTCTAGATTTGTCATTATTAGTCCTAGGCTTACTGATGTAACTACTTGTTCATTATTATTATTATGTTTGTTTCAGTAAACATTTTTGTATGTTTTTCCTACATGCCCAGTGTTTGTCTATAGTCCATACTGAAAAGTGAAATTACTAGGTCCTATAGTATGTAGGAAGAGTCCTGGTGTGGCACTGTGGGTAATGCACCAGACTGCAAAGCCATTTGAAGTGCAAGGTTGGCGGTTCAAGCTCACCAGCTGCTCCTTGGAAACCCTATACAGGGTCGCAATGGGTCAGAATCGACTCAACGGCACTTACCAACAACAACATAGTATATGTACTATTACTATAGGACCTAAGTAATAGTACATATACTGTAGTATATGTGGAGTCCTGGTGTGGCGCTATGGGCTAATGCGCCAGACTGCAAAGCAGTTTGAACTGCAAGGTTGGTGGTTCAAGCTCAGCAGCTGCTCCTTGGAAACCCTAAACAGGGTTGCTATGGGTAGGAACAGACTCGACAGCACTTAACACCAAGAAGAGTATATGTATGTGTAGTGGTTACAAATCGGGCTGCTAATCTCATGGTCAGCAGTTTAAAACTACCAGCTGTTCCACAAGAGAAAGATGAAGCTTTTCTGCTCTTGTAAAGATTTACAGCCTCGGAAACCCTGTACAGGCTTGCTATGAATTGGACCGACTCCACGCACATAACAACAACATAGTATATGTGGAATCTTGGTGTGGCGCTGTAGGATCAGCACTGGACTGCGAATCACAAGGTTGGTGGTTCAAACCCACCAGTCGCTCTTCAGAAAGCCTATAAAGGGTTGCTGAGTCAAAATTGACTTGACGGCATGTAACAACAAGAAGAGAATATGTATTTTAAATTTTATTAGCTGCTGCTTCAATATACTTTAAAATAATTATACTAGTTTATATTGTATCAGCTATATGAGAGTACCTCCAAAATACTTGGTATTATCAAATATCTCTATGTACGCCAATCTGGTGGTGGTGGTTCTGTGCCATGGAGTCGGTTCCGATTCATAGCGACCCTGTACAGGGTTTCCAAGGCTGTAAATCTTTACGTGAGCAGAAAGCCTCATCTTTCTCCCGTGGAACAACAGCTGGTAGTTTCGAACTGCTGACCTTGAGGTTCGCAGTCCAATTCGTATCCACTGTGCTACCAGTTTTTTTGTTTTGTTTGTTAAGCGCTGTTGAGTCGGTTCCGACCCATAGCGACCCTGTACAGGGTTTCCGAGTGGGTGAAAAATAGTATCTCATGTTCAATTTGCATTTTCCTGATTACAAGTCAGACATCTGTTCTGTGCTAATGACCATTTGTTTTGATTTGAACTGTTTAAATCTCCTTTACATTTTTGGTTGGACGGTTTCATTAATACATGCAATAAACAACATGCTAGAATACCTACTTAGTGCTAAGAACTATTCTGAGTGCTTAGCGTGTAATAAGTATTAGGGATTAGGGATTTTGTGGCATCTTAGATGCACCCGTACCCTCAAGGTGATGCATTTTAGTTGTGGGAGAAAGACCAGGACAAAAGGAATCAAGAAAAGATAGACTAAGTTAGATGATCATAGAAAGAAAGAAAAGATATAGGCCATGTCACTGGGTGTGAGATTCAATTTTGAATAACATCGTCCGGAAATTGTGTCTTTCACTTGCTCGTTTGTTGACATTCTTTCTGTGTTCTATGTACCAAGCCTTGGTCTGGTACATGGTCTATAGATTTTCTTTCAGGCTTTAATTTTCTTTTTTCAACTTAGGTTATGGTATCTTTGTTATGTTTTAAATTGTCAAGAGCTTGATGGTTATTTCTTTTCGATTATTTTCTGCCCTTACTAATATGTGACATTCCACTACCACCCGCTGCCAATTCAGTATAGTTGTTGGCTATTTTTTCCATATAAACAATTCTATTCTACCATGTTATTTCTCATGGCTGCTTAATATTCCATTTTGTGAAGTGCCTCTGAGTCAGTTTCAACTCATAGCAACCCTGTATGAGGAGTGGCTGGTGAATTGGAACTGCCAACCTTGTGGTTCAAACCGACTTTGTGGTCTAGTGTATTATCCCACAGTGCACCGGACTTATTATTTCCCAGAAGTCTTCTCTGTATGGCTGCTGAGGTTGGTTCTAGGCCTACCATAGATTCTTCTAGATGATGCAGGAATCCCTGTCACTTTCTGATGTTTCTTTGCTTCTTGTGGTTTGTTGGATGGGAGTGCCCTCCCCCCCCCCCCCCCCCCCCCAAAAAACACAGACACATTACACTGGGGTAATGATTTGATTTTGTTTTCTCTCTTAGCTCCATGGCTACATGGAAAACAAGCCTCTGGGCCTTCAGATCTTCATTGGGACAGCCGATGAGCGTATCCTCAAGCCCCACGCTTTCTACCAGGTGCACCGGATCACCGGGAAGACCGTCACCACCACCAGCTATGAGAAGATTGTGGGCAACACCAAAGTCCTGGAGATCCCGCTGGAGCCAAAAAACAACATGAGAGCAACGTAAGGGCTGGGCTGCTGCTGCTGACGGTGGCGGGTCTTGGAGGGAAAGTGAGTGAGGGGCAAGAGAGAAGTTTGGGCAGGAAGACTCCAGAAGACGGATGGAAGGACGGTGGTTCTGGAACTGTAACTGGCCCACAGTGACTCGGTGATTTCTGTTTTTAAAGTAGAGTCAGTCCTGGTGGCTCAAAGATCAAGCCCTTGGCTGCTAAGTAAAAGGTGGGTAGTTCAGATCCACTCAGCAGCTCCATAGGCAGAAGACAAGGAGATCCGATACCATGAATATTGTTGTTGATGTTGTTAAGTGCCATCAAGTTGGTTCCAAGGAGCAGTTGATGAATTTGAACCACTGACCTTGCAGTTCAAACACACCTTTCGGTTCAGTGCTTATCAGACATTGCCATTACTCCCCCATGAAGATAGTTGTTGTTAAGTGCCGTTGAGCTGGTTCTGACCCATAGTGATCCTGTATAGGGTTTCTGAGGAGCAGCTGGTAAGCTTTGAACCATCAACCTTGCGATTCAAACCAACTTTACGGTCCAGCTCATTAACCCACAAGGAAACCCCTACTCTGTCACTTGGGGTCCTAAGAAAAGTGATGTAAATATAATTCACGTATATTAGCAGGAAGGCTACTTAAGATTCCTTGGATTATATTGTTTGGAATGAGACTGAATTTGCGTGAATTAAAAAAAAATCTTTTGATTTAAGAACAATTATTAAGTAGCAATGCAGATAGGTCACAACTCTGAAGGCTAATATGTGCATGGCTAAAATTTGGGAAACATTACACAAATGTACTAGGGTTTAAAAAATTTTGTTAGAAAACAATTGCAAATACAGAAACTTCCAGAATTGTCCAAAGAACTCCTATATACCGTTCATTCAGATTTACCACTTTTCATTTTTTTTGCATGTGCTTTTTTACTCTCACTATTTTTTTCTGTGTTAACCCTTTTGTGACCTATGAACATTCAAGAGAGCTTTAAAATGTTCATTGGAAAAGTGAATGAAGAGACAATGGATTTTTTCCCCAAAGTCTTTTGAAACCCACCTATGTTTTCTGACTCTGGAGATAGGGGAAAACTACTGTCCCACTTTTATTGAGTGCTATCATGTGGTGGTAGAGTCCTGGTGTGGCGCTGGGGTTGAATGCACTGGACTGCGAAGTTGGTTTGAACCTCAAGGTTGGTAGTTCAAATCCTATACTGGGTTGCTGTGGGTGGTTCAAACCCTATACTGGTTGCTGTGGGATGGCACTGATTCCACAGCACTTACCAACAACAATGACAACAATCATCTGGTGGCCGCCTGTAGAGCTGCACAAATCTGAAGAAACAGGTGTCATCCTACTGACACCAGCACTAGAGACCCAGCGGGACATATGTGTCCCACTAATTGCATCAAAATTCATAATGCCTAAAAAATTTTTTTCAGTTCATTCAAAATGCCTTCTGTTACTGAAACAATTACCAAATTCAAGATAGTTAATGTTGGCATATTACTCTTACCTACTCAATAGCCTGGATTCAATTTTTGCCAGTTTCCATTTTGAGTTTCTGAGATATTTGTAAAGGTAGAAAGTTCGCATCTAGAGATGGAATTTTCATTGGGAATTTCTCTGGTACCTTGGTGATTTCTACAGCCCCTCCCCCGAGTTATTCCTGACTGAAATGTTTATTGGTGTCTTAGAATTTGCTCCCGTGGATGGCTGTAGAATTATCTTGGCTAACTGAGGGAGGCATTTTTGTGGGGTGATCTCTCGTCACTAAGACGGCCTGTTATAAACGGGCCTCTCTATCTCCTGACAGCATCGATTGTGCAGGAATCCTGAAGCTCAGGAACGCCGACATTGAACTGAGGAAAGGCGAGACCGACATCGGGAGAAAGAACACACGTGTGCGGCTTGTTTTCCGGGTACACATCCCAGAGTCTAGTGGGAGGATCGTCTCCTTGCAAACTGCATCTAACCCCATCGAGTGTTGTAAGTTGGTTTCTTAGAAAGTGTATTGCATGTGACCTGCCCTACCCTACAGGCAGAGCACCCTGGGAAATATTGGACTGGAGTCATTAGGGTGATCATTAAGAATATGGAAGACCCACAGGACAAATAACTGGCCCAACTTGACCAGAGGAACAAGTGACAGCTCATTTTTAAGAATTTTCTCTTGTTTCTAGTTACTTCTGGAGAGTTATGTGGCCACAAAGGGAAAAAAAAATGTAATAGTGCTAATGAGGGAACCCAAGGCTTTGTTTAGAAGATCCAAAAGGTGTGAATGATGCCCTCCTCTTACAGAGAGAAGATGCAGTTGGAGTGAACTCACTGCCCCTCCCCCTTTCTTAGAAAAAATGTTAATATCACAGTGGTACTTGTTTCTTCAAATGGGACTGCAAGGCACATAACAATAACAACTTAATTTCTTCAGCATCAGCTCAGCTGGTTTCTCCTCCAAGCACTCAGCATGCTTTATCTCACTGAGTGCTTGCAGTAATCACTGGCAGTAGCTGGTTTCATTATCCCATTGTGTGGAAGAGAAGGGAGAGATTCAAGGGGCTGAATAATAGGAGGGGAAAAGTGGCAGGGGCTGGGATTTGACCCTGAGCTTTCTCACCCTGGAACCCTGTTAGCTACCAGCCTCCATTGATCTCTGGGTGTTAGCTGAGACTCAGTGCTGTCCAAAGGGGTAAGGATCCGTGAAGGAGCTAGACGTTTTCCTGTCCTCAATGAGTTTACAGTCAGCTGGGGAATAAAGACTTCCAAACATTGCTGTAAAGAGGGAGACATTGGTCTGTGAGGTATAACGACCGAGCAAAAAGATCTGGGTTCAGTTCTATCAGGTTTTAAAAGAAGTAGCTTTGAGTTCAGTCTGAGATGCTTTCAGAACAATTTTGTTGTTGGTTTTTGCAATTAGGCATATCAAAGCTCCTTATGTGTCCAGTTTTTAGAAGTTGACAAATTATTTTTTAAAAAGCGTAAAGAAGAAATAAGTACATATGGTTCCAGAAACAAAAATTACAATTTTTTAAGCCATTTTTTCAAATAATATTTTGTTTTACACTGTGGCACTCAGATTCCACATGGAATGATGTAGCAGAATGTTTTTCCTTCTTACTGAACGTGATATTGTAAACGCCAAACTCAGTTGCTTACAGAGGGTCAGTTTAGTTGTAGAACTGACTGATGTGGGGTTAGGTGTTGGAGAGTGGGGACCAGCTTGGCCATTCCCTAGTTCCATATGGGAACACAGGCATGCTGTGGCCAGATCCTCTAAGTCTTTTAAAGATGAAACCAAAAATCTGATATTTTTAAAATTCAGGTTTTTAATAATACTTTATGGGTCAGACACAATCTGCTATTGTCTTCAATTAATTCGCAGTGGTGGTACAGTGGTTAAGCACTTGGCTACCAAATAAAAGTTTGGCAGATCAACTCCACCAGGCGCTCTGAGGGAGAAGGCTGTGGCAGTCTGCTTCCGTAAAGATTTACAGCATCAGAAACCCCATGGGGCAGTTTGATTTTGTCCTGTAAGGCCACTATGAGTCAGAATTGACTTCAGGGCAGTGACTTTGGTTTGGTTTAGTCTATATGAGACCCTAATACACAGAAGGAGTCCTGGTGTGGCGGTGTGGGTTAATGTGCCTGACTGCAAAGCTGTTTCAACTGCAAGGTCAGTGGTTCAAGCTCACCAGCTGCTCCTCAGAAACCCTATACAGGGTCACTATGGGTCGGAATTGACTCGTTGGCACTTAACAATAACAATACACAGAGGGGAATCCTGGTATGGCACTGCAGGATACTACGCCCAACTGCAAGGTCAGCGATTCAAACCCGCTAGCCGCTCCTCAGAAACCCTATCAGGGTCTCTATGGGTCAGAACCGACTCAACAGCACTTAACAACAACAATGCACAGAAGGAGGGCATAGATACTTTATGCAGAAAGAGTTCAGGAAGCCTGGCCCTCAGGAATGGAAGCCAACAAGGAGAGAGTGTGGACCTTCCTCTTGAGAGAATAACCTGAACTTGGTCTTTGGAAATGGTTATTAAGCACGCTGGCTTCTTGTTGCCTTGCAAAGTCAAGATGCTGAGTTAGCTGAATCTGATGGCGAGTTTCCTCTCTGCTATTAGGAAAGAGAGAGGGGAACCAGCTACACATCACTAGGGCAAACACATGTTGAAAACCACTACTGTTGAATCATTGGAATTCCCATCTACCTGGAAGACCCCACCCCTGGCCCCAACTTCTGCTTAAGGGCTGCCCACTGCTATCTTGGTTTTGAATGTCTCAAGATGTTTCTGGAGGGAAATGAGGGCTCTTCCTTGGTTCTTCAGGGGATTTTGAGCAGATAAGGTCTTCCCTTTGTGGCAGATGACTCTAGAATGGGGCTGTGGTTTGTGTAGCAAGGTAGGAAGCAGGAGGCCTAAGGAGGGACCAAATATAGCAGCTCATGTTTCTTGTCACTTTTGGGTTCCTCGAATCAACTTATCTTATGTCAATCTGAACATCATTGAACCACATGTTCCTCCAGCAACATCTCCAAGGTGTTTTAAAGGTGTTTGAACCTTAAAAATCGATGTTTTTTTCCACCTCCTTCTTTTTCTTTAACAAACGCATTTGATTCAGTTACCTTCTTTTGACAGATAAAAGAAACTGAGACTTTCTTGGTAAAGTGATTCACTCATTTTCACTCAGTAATATCAGACCCAGAGTCTCCAACTTTTTAGTTCTGGGAAATACCTTCTTCTTTTGGTTTCTTTCAATACCATATTGGGCTACAAATTGGCCATATTCTCTCTCGCCTAGAATCTTCAGTCATTTGTATTTCCATCTTCATCCTGCTTTCTGAGACCTGTGGCTGGTTGTTCAATCACTATTTATTGTCTGATTGACTTACTGTGTAACCCTGGGGGAGATATTCGATAACTATTTATTGAGTAATTATCAGCAAATATTTATTGACAGTACATGTTCAATACATATTTATTGACTAATGGACCTATGTGTACTCCAGGAGAGATATTTGATAAGTATTTATTGATATTGACACAGTTTGTATACAATAAGTATTTATTGACCAATGACTTAATTGAATATCCCTCTGGAGGGTGAGTTGGTAAAAATAAAAACACTTGGTATGATGGTACTTATTTGCAAGGCTGCCTTTTATGCACCATCTTAGGGATCAAGGAAAAGTTCTCAGTCTAGTAGAAAAACCCTGAACAAACTACCAGGGGCCACCCTGTGGCAAGTGGGCTGATTGGATGGAAATGCAGGTTCCTTAGACTGGTTGCATGCCAGCTTGTCAGAGGTCAAGTCTCACCACCGCAGACAGGCACCCCAGCTGTTTTGAATTTGGCTAGTTCTCCAACGTTGTCAAGAAGTGCTGCTTCCTCTGGACCTTCTCCAGCCTCCCAAGCTCTCATTGCTGCCCACATCCATTCCCACTCTAGCAGATAACCATGCCTCCTACTTGTCCTAGAACTTCCGGGTACACCCTCTTCCTAGCCTGACAACACACCTGCATGCGATCACAGCCCACGCAGCCCTGCCTCACCTCATGGGGTGAAAAGGAACCATTCTCCTTCCTAAGCCCACTCCCTGCTGCACGTGAGCTCGGAGTCCTGCATCTTCCATCCTTCAGCGCTCTTGGCATCAGCTCTAAGTTCCTTGTCCATGGTTGAGCCGGACTTGGCTTACGTGGCTCACACAATCAAAATGTATTATGCTCTCACCATCTGGATGTCCCAAGTGTGCAATCAAGGTGCTAACCTCCTTCTGGAGGCTCTTGGTGGGGAACCACCCCGTGTTCTCACCTTGATTCTGGTGGTTTCCAGCAGTGCTGGCGGTTCTGAGTTTGTACGTCTCCCAGCCTCTGTCTTCACAGCACCTTCTCCTCTGGCTCTCTCTGTATCTTTTCCTGTTTCTAGTGAGAACATGCTCATTGGATTTAGACCTAATATGGGACAAACGCCTCTCATTCCTTTAGTGCATCCACAAGAACCCGATGTCTGGGTAAGGTCACATTCGGAGGTTCGTGGTGGTCATGAATTTTTAAAATCTTCTTCAGTCTCTGATTCCAACCTTCCCACTCCAGGCAGATAACCACACATCTCACGTCCCAGCGAACATTCTCCCCTGCCTCATCCACTTGCCACACCTCTTCAGTTGTCTCTTGGACACCCTCTTCCACTGGAATCTTCCCACCTCTGGACCTTGGCCAGCATGGTCACCTCCACCCAGAATACTGGGTCTCACTCTTGGCCATATATTTCAAATCACTTGGGGAGTTAAAAAAAAATATTCATGTTAACTCTTTACCGCATCTTACCCCAAGACTCTGATCTGCTTGGTGGAGCACAGGAGTGGGAACGTCTGTGACTGTGTTGTGCCCCAGTGTTTAGAAAACACACATCTTGAGCCCTAGCCTTCAGGTACTTAGTAACCTCCTCCTTATTCACCAGGCCTGCTTAGATGGCAGCTCCTGGAGGAAGCCTTCCCTGGCCCCACAGAGTAGAGGGGTCCCTTCTGTGCTCTGAGAAGTCAATTGTTCATTTCCCTCATATAGGGGCAGAGACCAGTGCCTGGAACATAGCAAGAGTCTCTAAAATGTTTGTTAAGAAAAAAAAAAAAAAAGAATCAAAGTAGCCACCTCCCCACTGCCCAGCCGGGAGCACAGGCAGCAGCTACCCAGAGAGGAAAAGTCTGAAGGGACTACCACGTCCCGTGAGAACCTTCTAGAACCTCCTACAACTGTTTCCTGGGCTGTGGGCTTCCTCCTTGCCCTCAAAGGGCCTTTGTCTATGGCATTCTAGAAACCACCTAAAACAATCTTGCCCCAAGCCCTGCCCTTGCAGAGAACAGAATGTAAATGCATTTTGTTCATTTGTAGAGGAGGGTGGGGGCCCCTGGGTGTGGGCTAGAAAATGAATTCTTTCATATACTTTCTTCCCCTCTTTCTGTTGTACTATTTCTATCAGGGAACTC